TTGTTTCTGTGTCCTAGATCTGACTGTTTTGCTACCCCGGTTCTTTTGAGGAGGGTGCTGCTTGTGTGATCTCTTGGATCTCCTGAGTTTGGTAATCTAGCGTAGCTCCCTACTTGAGCTGTTTGGGTTTTCTTGATGTAGGCCTGCAAGCTGGTAAGGTGCAACCGCGGTGTCCAGATGTCAGTAGCTGAGGAGGGATATGTTCCAATTTTTGCTGCCTTGCGTCCTTGGCTAAAATCGCCCATGCCCAGCAGGGGCTCTCAGAGGTACCCAGGAGCTGTCTGTCAGGGTGGTAGGGCTCAGGAGGCCTGCACACTGGAAGGGCACAACTGTGATGTCCAGGGTTCTGTAGCTGTAGAGTGGGAAGACTCAGTTTTTGCTGCTGGGCCTGTGGATGGATACACACGCTCCCAGTGGCAGCTCACAGGGGTACCCATGGTGCATTTGCGACGTGGATCTCCGAGGTATGCTGAGGGGCCCTGGGACTGAAGTTGTGTGACAGCCTCTATTGGCAGTTATTCAGGAGAGTGAATTCAGAATTTCTGCTGTGGGGCATTGCACCCCCATTTGCACAATATCGCACTCAGCAAGGCTTGCAATGGCTCCCCAGATCTGCCTATGGGATGGTGGGCTCCAGATGCTTGCCCGCTGGAAACGCACCCTCTGGCAGTGCGTTTGTGACGTGTGCGCAGGGCTCTGACGCACCCTAAGGGGCCCTGGCATTGAAATTGTGCGACAGTGTCTATTGGCATTTATTCAGGAAGAGTGAATTCAGAATTTCTCCTGTGGGGCAATTCGCCCCTGTCTGTACAATATCGCACCGAGTGGGGGGCTCGCAGCAGCTCCCAGGGGCTGCCTGTGGGGTGGTGGGCTCCAGGGGTTTGCACGCTGGAAACGCCCAAATGTGGCACCCGGAGGTCTGCCTCTGGGGAGGGCGAGGCCGCACTCACCACTGCGGATGCGATGCTTCCCCGGAGGTGGAGATCCCAGGGTCTGGGAGTCTGGGGTGGGGCAGCTGGACCTTGGCTGGAGTGGCTGCTGGGACAGCGTCCAAAGCCTGTCTGGGTGGTGGTGTGATGAGTTCCCAGACGTCCGCTCTCCCCTTCAAGATTGCGTGGGTTCCGTGCCCAAGTCCGGCAGTCCTGGGAGTGCCCGCAGTGGCAGCAGTCTCTCCCTGTCCGCCGGCCCCTGGCACTCCTGTTGGATCTAACTGTCTCTCACTCACTCACACACACACCACACGCATACACACACTCTCCCTTCACCCTCTCACTCACTCACATCCTCTCCCTCACCCCCGTCCTGCCAGCCGCCATCTTTTCTCAGACTCTTTTTTTTTAAATATAAATTCTTTATTGTTTAAAGTATTACATGTCTCCTTTTTCCCCCATTGACCTCTCCCTGGCTGCTCCCAGCCCCCAGCACATGTCCTCACCTCCCCTCTCCCTATTGTCCACTGGTTATGCTCATATGCATCATGCCAGTCCTTTGGTTGAGCTCTTACCCGACCGCCCCCTCTCACGCTCCCCTGTCTTCCCTCTGAAGTTTGACAATCTGTTTGATGCTTCTTTATCGCTGCATCTATTTTTGTTCATCAGTTTATGTTGTTCATTATATTCCACAAATGAGTGAGATCATGTGCTATTTATCTTTCTCTGACTGGCTTATTTCACTTAGCATAATGCTCTCCACCATCCATGCCCATGCTGTTGCAAGTGGTAAGAATTTCTTCTTTTTTACAGCAGTGTAGTAGATGTATCACAGTTTTTTAATCCACTCATCTAATCATGGGCACTTGGGCTGTTTCCAAATCTTAGCTATTGTAAATTGTGCTGCTATGAACATAGGGGTGTATGTACTTTCTGATTAGTGTTTCTGATTTCTTGGGCTACATTCCTAGAAGTGGGATTACTGGGTCAAGTGGGAGTTCCATTTTTAATATTTTAAGGAAACGCCATACCGTTTTCCACAGTAGCACCTTTATTCTTGTCACAGGTGCTCTTTTGAACGGTGTTGCATATAAAAATGTTGCTACCGTTTGCATCCCCTGAGATCCCAGATCACACCTGGGACTTGAGTTCATCGGAGGGCCTCTTGCATTCTTTTCTCTTTTTTTAAAATATATTTTTATTGATTTCAGAGAGGAAGGAAGAGGGAAAGAGAGAGAGAGAAACATCAATGATGAGAGAGAATCATTCACTGGCTGCCTCCTGCATGGCCCCCTACTGGGGATGGAGCCTGTAACCAGGGCATGTGCCCTTAACCAGAATCGAACCTGGGACCCTTCAATCTGCAGGTTGATGCTCTATCCACTGAGCCAAACTGGCCAGGGCAAGCCTCTTGCATTCTTAATGTGAGACGGTCAAGGAGGATTGTTCAACCACCCAGGCATTAGCCCGAGAGGCAGAAGGACAATAGAGTGTGGCATCCTAGTACAACAGGAGGAGCTCCCAGAAAGAGGATGTGGCCACTGGAGCCGGTGGTTACAAGCACAGCCCCTGCATCCCAATACCATCCCTATGTATTCTTTTTCTTTTATGGGCTCCATTCGGGTAACATTGGACTATGTATTCCTTTTAAATCACTTTCTTTTCCTCCATAGTTCTTTATCTACCTGCTAGAGGCCCAGTGCACAAATTCATGCACCAGTGGGTCCCTCAGCCTGGCCTGCAGGATCAGGCCAAAACCGGCTCTCCAACATCCCCCAAGGGGTCCTGGATTGCAAGAGGGTGCAGGGCAGGCCAAGGGACCCCACTGGTGCACAATCGGGGCCAGGGAGAGACACAGGAGGGCTCCAGGTGTGTCTGGCCCATCTTGCACAATCCCAATCAGCTGAACCCCAGCAGCAAGCTAACCTACCAGTTGGAGCATCTGCCCCCTGGTGGTCAGTGCAAGTCATAGCGACTGGTCGACTGGTCAACTGTCTGCCCCCTGGTGCCCAGTGCACATCATAGCAAGCAGTTGAGTGGCCTTAGCATATCATTAGCATATTATGCTTTGATTGGTTGGATGGCAGACCAGTTGACTGGACACTTAGCATATTAGGCTTTTATTATCTATATATATAAAAAGGCAGCTACCATAACAGCCAAAACGACCTAACAATTAGTCACTATGACGCCCACTGTGGCCAGCTAACCAGCCCGATCAGGGGGTGGGGCCGGCGGCCAACCTCGTGGCCCCTCCCCCTGCTGGCCTGCACCTGATCAGACTCTCCCACCCCGATCAAGAGCAGGGCCTGCCAGCCAAATGCCCCCTCCCTCCCCACCCCAGCCAGCTGTGCTCCCGACCAGCCCACCCCACCACGATAGGCCTGCAGCCCCTCACCCTGGCCAGTCCTGTCCCCCACCCCGATCAGAGGCAGAGCCAGCTGGCCAACCACCCATGGCCCCTCCTCCAGGCTGCTGGCCCCTGATTCCTCCCTCCCACCCAACACCAATCAGGGGCGGGGCCACCGGCCAATGGGCCATCGGCCAATGGCCCACGGCCCCTTCCCCCAGCCAGCAGGGCCCTGATTGGGGGCCAACCTTCCACCAGCTCCTCCTCCCGACAGACCCAGCCCCCATCCGCCCTGACTGGGGCCGGGCCCGCCGGACCCTACCCATGCACGAATTTGTGCACTGGGCCTCTAGTATAGGATAATATAACAATATCTGCTTTAAATGTTTAAAAGTTGTCTCTCCTCGCTACCATAATGCATAGAAGCTCTAAGGCAGCCTGGCCCAGCAGAACCTTCTGTGATGGTAGGAATGTCTGTCTGTGTGTGTCCAATACCAATAACCACTAGCCCCCTGCAGCTGTTCGTCCCTTAATTGCTTCAAGGGTGTCAACTGCAGCTCTCACATTTTAATTCTATGTAATTTTGGAAATGAAGCATAGTAATGATCCCTCCTTTGGGAAAACTGCTGTTGGAAACTGCTGTTTTGAAGTTCTCTGCTATTTCTTGCTAGTCCCTTGTTCCGTAAGTCAACTTTGTTATTTTTAGATGGTCTCTTATTCTGTAAAAATAACTTTGTTTTTTAGCTTGAATAATAGAAAAGATAAACTTAACGGTCTGACCTTGCAAGCTAGCCATCTAAAGGGGCTGATATGCTGATACTGATAATATTCTCATGCCAGGTGTTTGTTAGATATGATATGTACTCAAGGTTACAAGTTGTCTGTATAGATATGATATGTACTCAAGGTGACAAGTTGTCTGTATAGATATGACAGGTGTTTGTTAGATATGATATATACTCAAGGTTACAAGCTGTCTGCAAAAATAATTTACACAAAGACCTAGAAGGATATAAAAAGGGAATACTCCTTCCTTTGTTTGTTCAGAATTTGACAGAGATATTCTGCTCTGAAGCCGCATGTAATAAAGATGACTCCTAGCTAATTGGCTTATTAAGGCATCTCGTATCTAGCTCACTGATTTACGATACAACAGAATATAAAACAGAAATAGCCACAGGGGGGGAGGGGCTGGTGGCCAAGGCGTTGGGCAGCACAGCTCCAGGCAGAGGTGACTCGGCTGTGTTTACTGCAGCGCTCCCGGCCCCAGAAGTCTCAAGTTGCTCGATAAACATTCATTTTCACTTAATGAATGAATATGTGGCTGCAGAGAAGGCAGCTGAGGACCTCAGTGAGCAAGAAGTTGGGGTGACGAGGAGGGAAGCGTTGTGGTCAAAGCAGATGGAGTTCAAGGATGAAGGAAATGGAGGGGGGGTGTTATTGGCCATCTTGCCTAGTCCAAGGGGTGTGAGGAGGGTCCCACTTTTCTGACTTCCCTGGAATGGCATGAGATAGTGGTCATGTAACCGGACAACCACTGGGTCCGCGCTGCCTGTCACTACTTGAGCCAGTGAAGCAGGGACAGGGTTGAATCCCATGTGGGCGTTTATCCCAATCCTGCCGGCAGCGTGGGAGGGCAGCAGGTCTGCTCTGCAGCCCCCATAAGCCAGCTGTTTTTACCGGGCGGGACAAGGATTACCTGGGGAAGAAGGAGGCTGGGGTGGGACTCCACTGTTTGGGCAACAAGGTTGTTCATCTTTCCATGATGATAGGCAGTTCTCGAATGAGAATGGTTCCAAGGTTGACTCCCAGGTTCAAGGCTGACTCCCAGGTCTGGGGGCTTACCACTCCCAGCCAGGTCAGCATGTCCTTTCTTTACCCAACACAAGGCAATCATGGTTAACAGAGCTTGATTAACATTTCCCATGCCACAGCTAGTGCCCAGGATAGCCAGAAATATTTCCCATAACCATAGCTAGTCCCTGATATTTCCCATAACCATAGCTAGTCCCTGATATTTCCCATAACCATAGCTAGTCCCTGATATTTCCCATAACCATAGCTAGTCCCTGATATTTCCCATAACCATAGCTAGTCCCTGATATTTCCCATAACCATAGCTAGTCCCTGATATTTCCCATAACCATAGCTAGTCCCTGATATTTCCCATAACCATAGCTAGTCCCTGATATTTCCCATAACCATAGCTAGTCCCTGATATTTCCCATAACCATAGCTAGTCCCTGATATTTCCCATAACCATAGCTAGTCCCTGATATTTCCCATAACCATAGCTAGTCCCTGATATTTCCCATAACCATAGCTAGTCCCTGATATTTCCCATAACCATAGCTAGTCCCTGATATTTCCCATAACCATAGCTAGTCCCTGATATTTCCCATAACCATAGCTAGTCCCTGATATTTCCCATAACCATAGCTAGTCCCTGATATTTCCCATAACCATAGCTAGTCCCTGATATTTCCCATAACCATAGCTAGTCCCTGATATTTCCCATAACCATAGCTAGTCCCTGATATTTCCCATAACCATAGCTAGTCCCTGATATTTCCCATAACCATAGCTAGTCCCTGATATTTCCCATAACCATAGCTAGTCCCTAATATTTCCCATAACCATAGCTAGTCCCCAATATTCTATTTTTGCCCCTAACAGTCAGAGGTTGGAATGGACGGCCAGGGAAGGCAGGGGCACAGGAAACAGGGCTTCCCTGCGGCACATCTGGGCAGATGTCCACTGCGGTGCTGCCACCGTGGACAGGAGTTCCCTTCTGGGGTGGCCTTGTCCCTGGCCCTTTGCGAGAGCCCCAGCTCCTTAAGAAGACTGTGGGGTTGATAACTGTGACCTCACAGGACGCGGGGAAGGTTCCTTACACACACGGATATTGTCATCAGTATCACGGTGACACGTGCTTCATTCCTCTCTGGTCACTGCTCGGGGTTGTATCCCAGGCTGTGCCCCCCACCCCCGGCCCGTGATTCTGGCCCTGGACCCCATCAGTCCAAGTTTGACACACCCCTCTACCTGTCAGGTCTCCAGGTGCCGACTGGGACTGTCGCTCTAACCACGTGCGTTGTCCTCACTCCCTGTGTGTTGTAGGGGTGGGGGAAGGGAGTAATGTCAATCCCATTTACAAGGTGTGCTAACTGGATAGAGCAGTGGTTCTCAACCTTCCTAATGCCGCGACCCTTTAATACAGTTCCTCGTGTTGTGGTGACCCCCAATTTCATTGTTACAAATCGAACATAATTAAAGCATAGTGATTAATCACAAAAACAATATGTAATTATATATGTGTTTTCCGATGGTCTTAGGCGACCCCTGTGAAAGGGTCGTTCGACCCCCAAGGAGTCGCGACCCACAGGTTGAGAACCGCTGGGATAGAGCAATCACACCAACTCTTAGGACATAGAGGTCATTACTACGGAATGATAGACCACTGAACCGTTCTAGCAAAACCCCCTAAAATAAGACAAAGACATTCCATGGGAAGAAGCCAGGGTTTTCTGGTCTACTAAATGAGCAGTTCAATCTTCCCGCGCATTGATCTACGAGCCCCCATTTTTCTGGGGGGAAAATCAATCCCCCATGGGCTTGCTCCGTCTCTTTTTGCTGCCCTTGTGGTTGGTTTCCTGGAAGTGTGGAGTTTTTTCGTGTTTGCAGGTGTAGCAGCAATGCGCTGTGCACATGGTACTCCCGCAATCTCCGGTCTGTCCTGTGTGTGCCTCTAATCTTAGAAGAAAAGGTTATACTGCCTCTCTCCCTGGATTGACTTGTATTTTAACAGTTAAATTCATTGCTATTGTGATTATGGCCACTAGATGGCAGTAAAGACCGCACAATGAAACAGCAGAGTTTTAATATATTTTATTGATTTTTTTACAGAGAGGGAGGGAGAAGGATAGAGAGTTAAAAACATCGATCAGCTGCCTCTTGCACACTCCCTACTGGGGTTGTGCCCGCAACCAAGGTACATGCCCTTGACCGGAATCGAACC